CTACATCAGAAGGCTCGATTTTACCAAGTCCAGTGGGCTTCCTACCCTGAATAGACTACTGTATTTCCAGGTCATCCTTAGTGCTATTATTGCACTAATAACGATTCGCTGTATAAAGGAATCTTGTAAGCAATTTAGCAAAAGACTCCTGCAGATTTTCACCATGTTTACTGCGACGCAAAAATTTGTCGGAAAAGCCAGTAGAGTATAGCGAGTTCAGTTAAAGGAAGGAAACCAAGTCACATGAAATGAAGCTTTTGTAACCGAATGGTTTAACTCACAGAACAGAACAACGACCAGAGACAAGCTCCTCGCGTGCCCGATTACGGGGACGAGACAAGGGTCAATTTTAGAGCATACTCTCTCGCCTTGCGGGGCGCAGTGGGGCAATTTTCTATAGTACTTTTTAATTAACTTTCCAAGGAAGAAGCAAAATGTTACTAAACAGTTCCACCTTACTAGGTGGAACAACATAAGCTTTGGTTGGTGCGAAAAATTCATTATTGTTAAAATCGGTCTAACCGTTCCACACCGTCTGGAACGAATTGTTCGTTTACTTGGTCCATTTTTCTGTCTGCTTTCCGATTACGTACATTATGTCTGCCATTTTCCTGAAAAGCTTATCCACATAGTTTTCACGTTACTTTGCCCCGTGTAGACTTACCATCTCACCATTTCCTAAACATAGATTTCGGAACTCTACACCACAGTTCAATGCGAGATCTAGATTGGTAGTCTGTATTTTCGATCAATCGTTTGACGCACTTTGCACTTAGTTATATACTTCTATGTGGGAAATCAGGTCTGTTGTCCAGTAAGACCGTTGTTCGTCCACTTTTGAATGTGATACATCTAGTCCAGCACAGTTTCTCCATAAAAACTTGTGGCGCATGACTCAGTGTGTGAAAACCCAGGTACAAAAGATGAAACGGATTGCTTAGACAGCGTTGGTATTGGTACCAGAAGAATACAGCCAAAAATTACTGAATGGCCTCACGTTGTTTGTCTGAAAATAATTAGTGCAAATAGAGGTCATAATCTTAGCACCAACGAGACATACTACTGATGAAGCGGGCAAGTAGTTCAAATGACGTCACAGCATCCGATGGAAGGTCGATTCAGAAATTATCAGACCGTTTTGTAGTGTTTATTCATTAGAGTCAAACGTTTAAATGACGTCTAAGAAAGCCTAGGAGGACGCTTGGGGATGTTTTCTCCGACAGAAAATCGTTCCGGCGATCACAAGGAATGGAAACATGCAACTAATTTCCAAACAAGAACGACAATTATTCGGGAATGTATAGAAGGATGAAAAAGTCATAATATTGCAGGTGGAAAATGGACGAATGAAGGTGATAATGGACAAGCCAGATTACACTGAAGAGGCAAAACAACTACTAAATGACACGATGACCTATTTGTCAATAGGTCATGATCCAACATAAAACATCATCAATCAACTGCAAGCAGCGTGTGATGTAACGAAGCGGGAACGATGGAGACTGAAAGCCGATAGCACCAACACTGTACAATTCGACGGACCACCAAAGGTGCACAAAGAAGGAACCCCACTTCGACCACCCGCTTCACTTCCGGGAACTTCACTTTACAAAGTAACAAATGACCTATGGAGATTAAAACACCTGACCTGTGGATCGAGGCACAATCAATAATGCTGGTCAATTTCTACGCAAATTAAGGAACGTCAATATAGAATACGACGAAATCATACTTTCATTTGATGTTACACTACTTTTCACTTTAATCAATCGTAAACTCACCAGAGGAACCAAGGCGGAGCTGCTTCAGGATAATCCAAACACGACAGAAACCATGAAACTCGAACGTCCACGGAAACTGTTGAACTTTTGCATGGACGCATACTTCACCTTCGATGGACAGATATGTCGACAGCTGAAAGGAACTCCAATGGGATCTTCAGTATCGAGATGAACACCACGTTTGAAGAAATCAAGTTAACGATCGAACTGAAGAGGAACAACCGACTACCATCCTTGGACGTTTTAGTGATGGGACTTTGGAGACCAGAAAGGGACACATACGGATCAACTACTGAAATACAACAGTGATCATCCACTGAACCACAAGATACTGAAATACAACAGCGATCATCCACTGAACCACAAGGAGAGCTGTCTAGACCCTGTTTAAGAGATTGGAGACAGACTGCAGCACCACAGAACTACGGAAGAAGGAAGATAATCATCTATTCAGAGTATTCCAGAACAATGGATATCCAAGGAATTTTATCAAGACAGGTTTGAAGAAGAAGACATCCCAACAATACCAACAGTAAGCCAGCAGAAAGGTGATCTTGCCCTACATCAAGAATATATCACAGCTCGTAACCAGATTGTGGGCTCAAAAAGGAATCCTCATGGCCCACAAACCGAATGCCACCCTAAGGGAACTAATCTCAAGACCGAAGGACAACCAAGACAACCAAATCAACTGCAACGACTGCAACAAATTCTACGTTGGACAAACCGGGAGGACGCCAAGCACACGAATAAAGGACCACAACGCGCCCGCCAGAGGACATGACTCCCTATCCTTAATATCCATGCGCGAGGACCAAGAAGACCACAGATTCAATCTGGAAAACGCAAAAATTTTGGCCCACAGAGACACAAGACATGAAGGGAATTTCTGGAAGCATGATACTCAGTGGCGGAGTTGATTAACTGATGCATTGAGCTGGATTCAGTTTACGCACCACTACGTACAAAGAACCAACACCTGAAACAGAATACTCAAGGAGAACCGAATATCGTATTCACAAAAAAAACAAGGAGCGCCTCGGAGTCGATTCAGTAAAGGTCATAAGTCGAAACTCGAAAGGTTCAAGAACAGAGGTCACTTCTATGGAGGTCACTTCAGCATCGACCAGAGCACGAAAGCAGGGGATGTCAAGCTCAGAGGTCATGTGGGCGTCGACGAACCAGAACACACGATAACAGTGCGACCAAGGGAACTGCCCGACCGAACAACTAACCGTGATCGAAGGTCAGCCCCGGCTAGCAGCACGTATATTGACACACACTGCTAAACACAACCATCAACCCATCGCTACGCACCACTACGCTCCCAAACAACGCACGGATGATGTCACCTTGATTGGTGATGAAACGTTTGCAATCGAATTGCCCAGCTCAACGAACAAACCAACGATCATCTACACTACTTCTATAGGAATTACAGGTGTAACTCAGCAACCAACCACACGCCGTTTGTAAGTATTGTAAGATGGTGTTATCATCTTCATACCACAAAGGGACGGACCACCCAAAGTACTTCAAAGTTTAGTTGCTTTTCAGGTTGTTGATGGGTACAAAAGAGTCGTGTACAAAATAAACTTGGCGTAAAAAGTGACTTATTTTCAGACAACCCAGAAGCTGGTGTTACTCAACCCATTTCAGGACCAGAGTTCTGTGAATATCTAGTGTTCACAAGATTTTGTCGCCAATATGTACAATATTATATCAGCAAGAAAGTTGCGTGAGCTGTTACTAGCCCAGTTATCACATGAAAAATACATGTTCTTGTTGGTAGTGCGAGTGGGTTTAGAAATTTCTAGTGGGGATTTCATTTTTGTAAGTAAGGCCAACCTATGCTGACAAACCGAGAAGTAATGGAGACCCATTTCGTTCTTATTGAGAATCATTGGCAGTGCGCTTCTTATGGAAATCTGGCGAATCTCGAATCCGCTACCTCCAGGCTAGCAGTTTGAACATATGACCGTTTGTTTGAAGAATGACTGGCGCGATATCCTATCTAAGTGCCAGTTAATCACACTGATCAGCCGCTCGTGACCGAACGGCCAAGTGTTCAAACTACTAGCCGGAATGTTTTTGGTTTGGGACTCTGCGGTTTCGTGAGATGTGCTCTGCTGATGATTCTCAATGAAAATCAAATAGCTGTGAAGTACTTCTTGGCTTTTCGGCGTCGACTGATCTCACTCTAGGGACCAAATCTACATTGAAAAATTTAATTTTTGGGTCAGATACGGCAGTAGTGCATCGTAAAGGAACACATATTTTGGATGCCCCTACCTGTCAAAACGACCAGTTGTGTGGGCAGAAATTCGATAACCACAGGTACTATGCAGTGAATCGCTATTGCGCCAGTCCAAGCACGGCTCATCAACTTTCACTGTTTTATTATCTCACCTGAAATCCCCACTAATTCGTGATCGATAACTTTAGTGCAACAGGAAGAAGAACATTATGAGACGGATGGATGTGCATGTGTGCATTTGAACGGGAGTGATAAAAGACATCGTGTGTTCTAACTGTCCACTGCTTTTTCACCTGGTATTCTCGTTCTCCTGATGAAATATATACTGTGGATTCGCAAATCACCGCTCAGTTTTCTAAGTTTGATCGTAGAAAATCCTTAAATGAACATCTCTGAACCTGAAGGACTTTGAGGATGTTCCAGCAACATATTTTTTAGATTTGAATCCTAACAACTAAATTTCTCATTTTGGATGGCCGTATCAGTTTTTCGTGCGCCGTCTAGACCGCTATCAGAAGACCTACATTGGCAAGAAGTAGAAAGTTGTTCCGGTGTTCTAGGGTTTGTTTTTCACTTCCTGGGGATGTCTGAACTAAAATCGATTCATCTTGAATCCAATACGGTCGCATCAGGGGACGTTATCTAGTCACCCACCTCTTATACATAAGGGTTCTTGTGAGTTCCACATTATGTCAAGCGTCGTTAGGTGCGATTTTGTGATGGTAAGTGGTTGCGTATTCTGCTGCGACGATCATGATTCAAATCCATGTCGGGCGGCTTGATGGCCATCCTTCTTTCACCGACTAACCAGTATGGAGTTGTGTGCAAAACTTAAATGCTGACTGACACGTAGATAATGATAATAATAATTGCAACAATAACAAATGATGACTATATGAACCTCGAGTTCCTAACTATTGTCTGTTTGACTCCGTCCAATCTAACTTCTTCCCCACCCATAGCTTTTCGCTGTCTAATGCTGGGTTCGGTGGATACGCCTCAGTGGAGTTCCGAACTGTGTTTCGCTCGGGCTGTAGACCAGCTTATTCCTTTGACGCTCCTAACAGCATCCGAATGTGATCATGGGGTCAGCCGTGTACGCTACACCGAGGTACAGCTACACGTGAGCGCACACGATGGGATAACCATCATTGACCTTCAGAGACGTTTGTTCCTACGGCGGCATCTTCCCAACCACGTGTTGTTGTATTGCGGTCTTGAGTCAAGAAAGAAAGAGTAAGCCTGTTCCCAGCATATGTTGTACTGCTTTTTGCACAGTCTCGATATCATATTAGTGTGTGACGTGATTCCGCCATAAACTGTTCAATTTGAGCGCGTATGTTGTGCATAGTATCGCTGATTGTAATTGCTTCCCAAAGAACCAAAGAAAAAAGTGAAAAAAATTGATATGAGGACTATCACTACCTTAACGGTATTGCTAAGCCTTGTTTCTCGACGTCACTTGGCTAAAACCGTGGAGGTCGGAGAAAAATCGCATTATTTTCACTACTGTAAATGGTAGCAGTAGTGAAAGACAACCCAGAAATGGCAGGCTCTTGAGGATCCAATGTCTCAGCTTAGTTTAATTGCATACCAGATTTGATTGCACGGTTTTATGTAATTTTAATTCTTTTGACCATTACAGATTTTCGCATCCAGAACACCAACTTCAAGGCCTCGTTCACCCAAGGTATGTTTTCAAATTTCTGCCTCACTATGAACCGAATCGCCTTGCGATACTTACTCAGTCCAGATCTGTGCTGGTTTGGACATTTTAATAATTTTTCATCACTGTTTTGAATTCCATGCTATAATAAGCAAGATCAGACTCCAGCTTCACGTAGTATAGCCAATGAAACCAAAGTTCAGTCATCCAGTTTATACATGAGCTGGCTAGAGAGGTATTCATTCTCAATCAATTGGAAAATGTTTGGGAACGATTGGGAGGTTATCGTTTCAGAGAGGTTTGCTAAACGATAAATCCACCTATGTTTACCAAACCTCTCTGAAACGAGGTATTCATTCTGTTCCTAATCAGGCCGCAACAGCAACTCAGTGGTTGAATGTTATATATTCACATCTATCTCCGTTTTAGGATTTTCGGAATTGTTGTCCGAAAGGGAATCAGCGAGTGCACAACGCACGTCTTTTCTGAGCTGGATCGGGCACACACGGCGGATTACGTCGTTCAACACATCCGAGCAACGTACCCTCATATGAATGTGCGGTAACCTGTTTTAGAAACGTTGAATTCTGGCCTTTCCCCTGAACCTACCGCTACTACCACTATTCTTGTTATTCTCAAGTGCATGCAACTAGAATTCGTAAATACGCCGATACAGTGCTGTTCTTTTTTCTTTAGTCACCCACCGATATACAGGAGGTGGAAAAAGCGGTTTCTTCTACTACTTTCATTCGATGCAAAAAAGATGAAAACTATCATCGGATATAGTACATAAATATCAGTCACGCTTTGATGCGTGGGTTTTACATCATCTTTATCTTGTTTGGGTCAACCAAACTTTCGTACTTTTAATTTCGCTTTCTCAAAGTTTTCCGCGGTCATTCAACCCAGTACAGTCCAGCATCTGCATCTTCTTTATGCGTATTATTCCTACCAAGGCGGTTTGTTTAATTTAACGCCTCTTCAACCCGTGAAGTCTTTTTGGTGAGCCATTATGAGTAAAATCGTGAAAATCCTGTCGCCAGTGATTGGGACAACACAATGCATTTGATCCGTGTTGCTCGGACGACTTACTGTTTCTTCCCCTGTCTTCAAGTGATTCTCCATATTATGTTCCTGACCTATTCATCCCTAGCTTTTCCCGAGATGTTGGCATTCACGTTCTGCAATATCACTGTGATGAGTTCTCTCCTCAACCCCACGGGTGAGAGAAATGGATACCTTTTCTTGATGTAATAATGGTTGAGTTTCCGGCACTTTGGTCTCTACATGCAGTTTATCTGATATTCCAACTACTATTCTGTATCGTCAAGCAAACTGTTTTCTCATTTTGTACTTTCTGCTTGCCTACAGCACGTTCAACAAGAGCATGTCTACCGCTTGTAACAATAAAGAGGCGTAAGTGATTAATCACTTATTCGCGTAACACCACGGGATGGCTCACGGTGTAGGAAACGGTACGTAGTTGAAAATTGACTACCAAAAACTTTAAGTAGCGCATATGAACGATGGGAATTAATCGGGATCCTGTTGCATGGTGTGATTTTAGAGGGCAGAACGCACTTTGACAGTCCATAGGCAAATTCCAGTTGCCACTACTGATTGCTGCTTAATATAGATCGAACCGATTTATCATGGAACTAGGATACTTTCTTTGTCTGAAGCTGTTGTATTTCCGAGGTCTCCGTATGTGCCGGCTTCCCTCTCCAACAAAAATATGTTCCTTTTTATATTCATTTGGACGCCATGTTTGTCAAGAATGAAGAAAACTGACTGATTTGGAGCTGGCTGGATGATGTTTTGTATAGCCACACAAGCCGTACAACGATAAATAGACTAACCAACCACCAAACACGCCCTAGTGAGGATCCTAATTGGTCGATGGGGGTAAGCCACGTGAGTGCTACTTAGCCATCAATGACGCGATCGAACAAATGAACCAAGCTCCGACGCTGCACCCTCTCTTGAAAAGTTGTTAACTGTTGGTCTCTCTCCATCTATGAGGCGATAATTAGGTAAGCAAGCTATTACATCCTGATTAAAGTGGCTTGAATTATCACCATAATAAGGGGGAGATAGCGTGGTCCCCAAGTTTTCACTGATCTTATTTTCGGCTTGAAAACCAAACTGTATGTAGGTGGCCAAGTATACTAATTTCAAAATTATTTTTTTTGGCCACTCTGCGACTAACCGCACAACATGTATTTGCTCATAGACAGGCGATTACTGCCGTTATTAGTGCGATGGTACAGCCGTGGACTTTTTAAATTGTGTAAGTTCCAAAACTACGTCAAGAGCACCAGAAACTGCTCATCCAATCGTCATTTCGATTCTTCGTACCAGAGCAACTGACCACATTTTCAAAGTAGGCAATACTTCCCTAATTTGTCGCGGTTGTATTCTAATAGCGCGATATTCAATTTCCTCTCCCAGCAATATAAACGATTTGTCGTTTGAACGGTCATTTTCTGGTCCTGGTACGCCCATTCCCGCTTTCCACACAGAAGCTCTGCATTGAGGTTTCACACAGACTGTAGCTCTTCAGAAGGGGTGGTGTGGACTTGAATGAGATGCATGTAACACACAGAGTGAATGTGACCACCATTCCATCAGCTCATGCTGAGCACAACCGTAACAGCGCATTCGAACAGGCTAACGGACTCGAGTTTGAGCGATGCAAACAAGTGTTTTCACATGATGGGCTGACTTCCATTACCGGATTCACCCGTCACTCTGAATTACGCCTTTGATTCCCCGGCCACAGTGAGTGATATCACATGCGGTTTACAATGAGGCACGCGCAATTCCGCCTGAACATTCAGTACACAGTGAAGGAATAAGAACAGAGAGTGACCAGTAGAGGCATTTCTAAAAACTGGCACGCCCAACTGGTGGCTTATTGTTGTCAACTAGGTATATTTTAACAACCCAGGCGACGTGGATCGTCTGGTGGGCCGCACTGCCAAGTCACATACAGTGAACCGAAATTGAGACCTGGATAACTCTCCAAACTCGTTTACCTACTTTTCCCCTGTGCTTAGTGAATTCTATTTGTTCCTCTCTGCCATGGATTTTGTATCCGCTATTCGCCTTGCTAAACTGGCCGTCCCGATTGTCTCTGGTAGTTTCCATGTGTATGTTTGTGTGCACATATTCGTGCATATTCAGCTCGACTTGCTCTGATTTGTTCTACGGTAAACCCCTCGCCGTAACTCTTCCCATAATACTCACGAAGCCGATCTCCAGTGCGACGATCAGAACACACACTGTCAGCCATTCGAGTTCACAGTTCTGTGAGTGGATTTTCACGCTGCGCTTCGCCGGTCAAGGATAGACAAGCGCACCTATTGTTGAATCTACGAGAGCGCGCAGCTGAGGCCTGTTACTCGTGTGCAAATAGCATCTTGGAGATTCAAACACATTTCTTCTTTTTGATATTGACTAAAACTACTTGCGTAAAGGATAAAAAGGTAGACAAACAGACAGGCAGACGGACAGACAAACAGAGAGAGAGACAGATAGACAGACAGATAGCAGACGGACAGACAGACAGGCAAACAAACAGACAGACAAACAGACAGACAGACAAACAGGTAGACAGACAAACAGACAGACGGACAGGTAAACGAACAGACAGACAGACAGACAGACAGACA